AAGAAAAAGATAGATGATCTGTTCCGCTGCATTTGATGTTTATAGTAGCTCTGTGTGTGTGTCTGTTTCTATGTATAATCTTTGGAAGAAAGTTCTGAAAAAAATTCCAAAGCCAGATCCTGGAATCAGTTCAGTTCAGGCCCACGACCCGATGCGAGCGAGATCCGTCCCGGTCGGGTTGGGTCGTGACATCACCTACCACACGTGTTTCTCCAGACTTGCCTCCAGTCGACGACAACTCTACCAGTCCACCCATTCCCAGCATTAACCGTGTTCCCAAGCCCGTTCCACCTCTGCCTCAACATTCCTTGGTAACCCGCAGCAAAACAGGATCCATAAAACCAACAGTTCGGCTCAATCTATTTCATCAGACCCAGCCTCAAGTACTGCCTCCCGATCCCTCCTGTTACACGGATGCAGTCAAAAAGATTGAATGGCGCAAAGCAATGTTGGAAGAATTTCTTGCCTTGCAAAAACAGGGTACCTGGACGCTTGTTCCTCCACCAGATTCGGGTGTACTGGGCTGTAAATGGATCTATCACACCAAGCAGCACGCTGACGGATCAATCGCCAAATACAAAGCTCGGCTAGTTGCATTAGGCAACAATCAAGAATTTGGCACCGATTATACCGAAACATGTAGTCCTGTTGCAAAATTACCTACTATTCGTATATTACTTGCTATTGCCATACATCACGACTGGCCGATTCAGCAACTCGACGTTGCAAATGCATTTTTGCACAGGCATCTTCAAGAAACTGTACACATGAAACAACCCCGCGGCTTTGAAGATCCAATGCATCCCGACTACGTTTTTCGTCTACATAAAACTCTATACGACCTCAAGCAAGCTCCGAGTCAATGATATAACACTTTCACGGAACAACTTCTTCTTCTTGGTTTTATAAACAACAAATCTGATCCTTCGTTGTTCATTTTTAAAAATGCAAAGTCTTAAATATTTTTACTCATTTATGTCAATGATATTTTAATTACTTGAAATAACCCATCTTTGATCCATGAGATTGTGACACAATTAGGCACAAATTCACTCTCAAACACCTTGGAGAAGTGAACAATTTTCTGGGTATCCACATAACCCGAAATACTCAGCAGTTTTTTCTAACCCAGCATTCATACGCTATGTCCATCCTTCAATAAGCCCAACTCCAGCAGTGCAATCCCATAGCAAACCCCTCCTACACAAAGCTTCCCACAGAATTTCAGCACGAATCCTTACTTTCAGATCCAACACTCTACAGGAAGCTCACGGGATCTTTGCAGTATTTAACAATTACTCGCCCCGATATCGCTTACAATGTCAACACCTTATCTCAACACATGCAAAATCCTCTACCGCAACATGTCTTTCTCCTCAAACGACTCCTTTATATCAAAGGTACGTTAGAATTAGGTCTACCTATTTCAAAATCTAATCTTCAACTCCTTTTTTAGATGCTGATTGGGCTGGAGATCCAACCATCCGCAAATCTACCACCGGATTCTGCTCATTTTTAGGCGACAACATGATCTCTTGGACGGTAAAGAAGCAGCATAAAGTCGCACGCTCATCCACTAAATCAGAATATCAAGCACTCGCCGAACTTACAGCTGATGTTATCTGGCTCCGCAAAATTTTGGATGAGTTCGGCATACCTCAAACGACTCCGACCGAGATTTTCTGTGACAACATGTCAGCCATTGCCCTCGCAAACAATCCCGTGTTCCATGCTAGGACAAAACATATCGAGATAGATCAAAAGTTTATCCGGGATAATATTCAACACAATGCCATCAAGATTCTACCTATCAACACCGTTAATCAAACTGCCGATGTATTCACCAAGCCCCTATCCACACCACGGTTCCAAGCTCTCAGGACCAAACTAACAGTTATACATAACCCATTAGTTTGCGGGGGAATATTAGGAAATAAACCAAAATGTAATTAATTAGAATATAGTTAATGAGCTGGCATTGTATTTCTGAACAATGTAGTTATCTCTTCTTTCTAGGCTCGCCTATATATAGGCTACTATCTTCTCTGTAAAGGATATACAATAATACTATTTCTACTTTCCTTCTTCCTATTCTATTCCAAGAACCGAGAGGTTCAGTTCAAGAACTCTTAGAGTGCTACAGACACCACAATGCTCACCTCCCCTAGCATCGCTGCATTGGACCAAATATTACAAATGCTTTTCAATTCTTCCAAACAGAGATTTTGGCGCTATGATAGAGCCATTCTTAGAGTCGTAATGCCTCCCTCACTCCAATAGAGAACAGGATGTTGCAGTGCCACCTTTCCAAGCTTCACGACGCCACCTTTCCTCCAATAGAGGCAAGGTGCAGATGGAGATGGGAGGTGGAGGCGACCTGAGTTGGAAATGGTGGCAGGCAATGACAATTGGCGGTTAATGACGATTGTAGGTGAGTGGAAATGACGACTGCTAGCCTTTGGTGGCAGCAGCAGCCGAAGGTAGGTGACAACTATAACGATCAACAGTGGTGGAAGCAACACTAGTGACAAATGGTGGTGTTGATAGCGCCGGAGGTGAGTGGAGGTGGCGGGTGGTAGACAGTAGTGGTGGCGATGGCCGTAGGTCGGTGATGATGTTGGTGGTGGCGTTGATGGTGGTGAAGGTGGTTGCAGGCAACGACAATGACGAAGAGTTTGTGGTATATTTGAAAATTGCTTAATTCGGATGAATTCTAAATACACCACATTTACATAAATGGTGCATTCCAAATACACCATAATTTTATACTACATTTTATTTACATCAAACCAAACAACAATATTCTCAAATCCTTTGCATTTGAAATATTTTACAACCATTTTATTTCAAATCAAAATACTTAAGTAAAATTAATTCAAAATGTAATTAAAGTTTAATATATAATAAAATAAAATAAATCAAATATGAACTAATCGATTATCATAACAGGAGACATTATGTCATTTCAGCCATAGAGACTTCCACTGAGATTTCAGCTCAGTGCTCTGAGCAATATCATTTGTTGGCGGTCTTAATTAAAAGTTATCACATGCAGAGAATAAGATAGCACAAGCGGCATTACAAGCAATTGAGATAATGTATATCATGATATGGATAGAAGTAGTCGGTCTCTATCAACTTTGTTGCTTTTCCTTCCATTTTTGGTTGCTTAACAACAACAAGAAACTTTATCAGAACATTTCTAAAATATTCAAAATTTCATTTAGATTTTATTTGAGATAGTTTTCTTACTATTTTGAATTTTAAATCGCAATCACAATTTTTATTTAGATGCAACTTTTTCGTTGTTTAAAAAAATTTTGTACTAACGAAATTGCTTTCTTGAAATCTTTAAAAAGTTATTTTTGCTACAGCAGCTTGAAGAAAGCCGTTCCATATGAATCCTTAGGCTACGTTTGGGCTGGCTTTTTAAATTCCTCATAAAGCAGCTTTTTATTACAAAATTAAAATTTTTATTATGGAAAGTACTTTAAGAAGCAATAAAAAAGTCATCCCAAGCAAAGTCTTAATATATCTTGATTGGAATTTATTATATGATGAAGAATATTCTTTAGAGGGATGGTGTGTTCTTTATGCAAATGCGATAATAGATTTGATGTATGTAATTATATGTACAAGATACAATATCTTGGGGTGTAAATAAGCCGAGCCAGCTTGAATTCGACTCGCTAGGCTCGACTCGAATTGGAATTGCTAACGAGTTTTAAGAGTCAATCTTATCAAGCTCGAGCTCAAACTCGAGCTAGAATATTAAAAACGAACTCGAGTTCAAGCTTGAGAAAGCTCAGCTCGTGAACCATCTAAAAAAAATTAATTTAAACCTTAAAGCCTACTAAAAAGATAATTTTAAAAAAATTGCCGCTATACAATTTTGCAAGAATAATATTAAAGAAACATCAAAACCAGTTATATAATTTACCGACAAATTAAATGTAGTTCTACAATTTTCAATAGAAATAAAATAATCTAAATGATTAATGCACATGTAAAAAAAAATGAAAACGCAAAATCTCAATTCCCAAATTCTGCCATTTTGCCGAACTTCTATAATTTCTTCTCTGTCATTTCTATTTCTTCTTCAAGATGAGCATCAACCATCAAGCACCAACCATCAAGCACGTAGAACTTCGCTCATCCTTATTAATGACAAAGGCAGCCGACTTCAATCTTCCTTCGTCGAACTTTGCTCTTGCTCAGCAACAACGAAGCCGAGCTCCCTCGATTTCACCTTGAACCGAGCTCTCAAGCACGAGTAAAAATGGACGAGTTGAGCTCGAGCATGAACTATGGACTCGACTCGAACTGCTCTTTTGAGGGGCAAGTTGAGCTAAAATTTGTTACAACTCGAGCTTGACTCGACTCAATTTGTACCCCAAATGATATCTAATATGTTAATATGTTGACAGAAGTAGATTCTACAGTATATTCAAAACATTACTTATATTAGCCCAAAGTTCAAGAAAGAATAAGGCGACTACAAATTGTCTAATTGAAGATGTCAATTCTAATTTTGCTGATGATCTGATGAGCAAAGATAAAACAAATAGTTATTTGTTCACTCTGACAAGATGACGAGTTAGCATAAGATCAACACTTTTGAGGAAACACTGTCCTTAGGCCAGTAAAAACTCCGGTCGACCTAGCCTGCAAATCACACAAATTTACACGGACTAACACTTAAAACTTTCACTGCTTGTCAAGGAATTCGAATCAGGGTTCTGACCTTTGCCCAGCCGGCTCTGAATATCAACACTACCGTTACCAATTTCTTTGTCTGCCATAAAAGCAAAAGCAGGGTGCCTTTGGCTCATTAAAGAAGGATTGGCATCATATTTTAGCTCATTTCAGATAGATTGTGCCACATAAGTGATTAATCTCACTCTCATTTTAAGCCATTTTATTACTAACATAGAGTTTTTGCATACAGTAACGAGTAACATTTTAGCTAACCATTCTGGACATGTAACGAGTGATCCGTGGCAGCCATTCATTTGGAATAATATCATGCTTTCTTATAAATTTCTCTGCATGCAAAAACATGCTGAACTAAACATGCAAAAACATGCTGAACTAAAGATTGGAATAATATCATGCTTTCTTATAATAGATTTTTTGAAATATGTAGAAAATTTCATAAGACATACACTAATTTATTTTAAATTTATTTTCAAAGTTTGTTATGAACAGTGATTTGAAATGAACTAAAAGAATACTATGCAGTGCAGTTGGGATTGTGGATTCAAGGAAGATCTTGTGATTGTTCTTTAGAATCTGTTGAAGGCTTAACAAAACTGAACTCTTCATCCCTCTGCTCTTCCTCTCCCTGCTGACAAAGTTCAGCTGCATTGATTTCCACTACACTGTGCTTGATGATTTCTGGCATCTGGTTGGTGGCTGTGATAGAATCAATCTCTGCATACAAGTTATCTTCAATTGTGAAATTCTTTGCGCGTTTCTTCATTACAGGGCTTTCAATTTCCTTGTCTGAATAGTATCTTGTTTGCATCATATCAGAGTAGCCCGTGTCGATGTAACGATGAAGAAGGTGAATGGGGGATGAACTAGGGCTTGTTAATGGAGTTGAGGTTGCACTTATGGTGGGGGAACGGGAAGACGATCCCTTCTTGTGACGCTTTCTTACAGCTTGGTGCCATCTCTTCAGAGCCTGATTAGTCTGCTCATCGAAAATGGACCTCTTCATGTGTGATCCCATCTGACAAAAACAGAACAGTGTTATGCAAATGTGCCTCTCCGTTATTGAAGGTTACAGATTCTTTAAGGAAATAAAATTATGCAAATATGGGCGTGGCTGAGATGAAATTATTCTGTGCGGATACGGATGCCGTTCGAAGGCAAATCAGAACGCGTCACAACACCCTTTTGCTTTGTGGCTGTGTAACCGTTTTGTACCAGATGATGTGGCATGCTCTGATTCGTCTCAGAACGATCCAATGTCTGCATAGAATAATTTCTCGTGACGAGTGGTTTAAGCTTCAACTCCTCAATTAGGGCTGCAAACGAACCAAGCCGAGCCGAGTATGTGAGTGTTCATGTTTGTGTTCATTTAATATCAGCTTGTTCAAGTTTGGTTCATGTTTGTTCGAGCTTTATTATTTGTGTTCATGTTTGGTTCATTTAAATTAATGAGTGTTCATGTTTGGTTCATGTTCAGTTTATGTTCGTTCGTTTAGTGCTTATCGAGTTTGTTCGCGAACATATTTAACGATTTTTTTTTAACTACCAAACAAATACGTTCATGAACATAT